AGGAGAAAAATAAACGTGCAACAATAAAATCCCCATTGGTATTAAGCTTCTCGCAATGCTGGAGGGTGGAGGTAATAAAAATAAAACAGTGAAAGAAAAATAAATAAATAAGCACGCACAAAAAAAAATTGGAATATGCTCATTTCAATTGTATTTTTCATTTTCCGCCGCTTTCGGCTTAAAGTGGAATTTGATGAAACATGTGATATATACGAATGTGTGCGAAAATTGAAAGAATCCACGACATGGGTGAGATGCCTTCGGGGTTTGGTTCCGGGGATCTCGAGGATTCCATCTCAATTACAACCCCCTCGAGTATGTGTTTAAACATCATCCCTAAGAGTCTACAATTGTTTTCGCCGCCTTCCAGCTTTTCACTCTCATCTCATTCTCTCTCATCCCTTATGTTTTTTTTAATCATATTCGTTGTTATCCTCAATATTGCAAAAGGCATACATGTATTATATGGAGTCCAGGAATGAAAAACAGCAAACATATTATATATTATTACATTCCGCTTTATGACTTTCTTTCGCTCAGCGCGTCGTTTGTCGTCTCCACGACCCGCCCTCCGTCGCCAACGTTACATAATACATGTGTGTATGTACATTATGTCCACGTGACGAGCACATATTTGACAAAGGATACGTTTACATGAGAGCGTGCACGAATGGATCGGGCACGTCAATTCGCATTTTTTACGTATCGAAAGTCAAACGTCTCAATTTAAACGACATCATCATTTTAACTACTCAACATTTGACCCTTTTCATATTACATCAATGTTGCTTAAGAGATGTTCACACACTTGTTAAAAACGAAAAATACAAATTTTTCTCATTCAAATTTTAATTATTTTAATTCAATTTTATAGCATAATTTCACTCATTTTTTATCAGTTGATAGTTAAAATATTTCTAATTTTTGTGTCTTCATATTTTTATTGGTTTTTTATTGAATGTAATGTTTAGTGTATCAAAATTTATTTTATACTACCTAAACAATTTCATTTAATTTTTAAATAATTAATGTCATTACATTTTTGTTGCCATTAAAACTCACAAATAATTAATTAAATTGACATATTTATCACTTTATTTCGTTTTTTTTATATATACATATATTTATTTTTATAAATAATTATTGTTATTAATTAGTGAATTCAAACATTTATCGAAATTACACAGAGTAAACAAAGTTTACAATACCGGTGGCAATTAAATTTCAAAATTTGATTTGGCAAACATATACAAATTTAGTAAATATTTACTGTAATTTGAATCATTATACAAAAAGATTATGTTTTTTTAAATCATTTCTGTTCACTGTTTAAATTTCAGAACTTCATAACTTTTTTGACCTTTATAAAGTCAAGTCTCTTTTGTGCGGTTTATAGCGGTATTAGTTCCTCTATTTGTCCGGTTTCAAACCGATTACACGGACTATCCGATTATTAA